TGCGATTAAAATAAACTAAATGAACGTACGCATTTATTACGGCCGAAGGCTACTGCACCGTATTATTTTAATCTTCTTTTGTATATTTATTCGCAAAAGTAGGCTCACTCGTTTTGAAAAAAAATAACATAACGCGCTGGTTATTATTTGTTTAATTAATCATATGTGAGTATTTGTCCAGTATAATTTAAAATCCATTTACCGCAAATTAAATATACCGTMGAGCTGCAGATGATGTGATGCATTCGGTTTACCAGCTGATGATGATGATGATTAAAATATTTTCATGAATATTATCAAAATTCTCTTTCTGGTTAACCGCACAGGTCCACCTCCGTAGATGCATATGAGTGTGCGTATATTCTGAAGGGGGTATAATCCTCCCCTGTTTGTGTATTTTCATATCCCTCTGACAACTGCAGCCCACTATATAGCAGATTTTTAACATTCAATACGTATATAATATAATGCTATAATTTAAAATATRAAACGCGTAAAAGATATTCTATGTCCGAATGCGCGTATTAAATTTTTAAAATAAAATGATATCACGTACGCACGARGTTTTTCATTAAACGAGTTTATATCAAAGCGGGAAATCACAGCTTTATTATTGATTGCCTCTATACCTATAGCATAATATAACATTTTTATTTATTTTTTTATCAATACTGTATATTATTGCTATCGTTCTCAAATTATCAAAACCGTGTTTGATCAAAATAGTCAAAATTATTTATTTTTATTATTACCTCTCCCTTCGCCACTAAAATTCAGTTTGATCCTTTAGCTCTACTGAACTGAATTAACTGGGAACGCAAAATTTATATTTTGAAATAACGTGTGTTTATGCGACATACGAGTATGCATTAATTAATTTAACATAAATATATACATAATATGTGTGTGTGTGTGTATTTATAAATTATATATGTTAACATTAATGTATGAAATTCAGTAATCCTATAAAATAACTAGTTATTCTATAGAATTCCGGGTACTTTCAATTAATGTATTAAATGTAATCCATAAATACATACTTCAACTAGTTATTCTACATATTAATTAGATATTTTATAAACTAAAAATAACGGTTCAGTTAATGTATTTAAAACTATTATTGAATCTACCTACACCACGTGTTCCAAGAAACAKGGTACACTTTATCACTCATTGCCCTATAAAGTATATCTTTCAATTATATTTGCRTTATGATATAATTSAAAAATCTTAATAAATTTGAATATTTATTTTTTTACTGTTCATATTATTTTTTTCTAAACATCGTGATGTAATCAAAGCTATTATTATTAAGTAATAAATTATTTACTATTTATGAATTATTTTTCCATTTTATTGTTTAACATAATGAAGTAACATTATACTAACAAGTATATTTTAAGGAAACAAAATTCTAAATTTCTATTTTTTTTTTAACAATACTATAGATTTGTATTTAAAATTTTATTTACATAAATTACAAACATAAACTTACAATTCTACACAACGAATGGACTTATCTAATTCAATCTCGGTCATCTACCTAACCATATTAATTTCATATACATTAGCGAAAACCCAACTGGTATCCTATGACTGTATATTAACTAGTAAAATTGTGTAATTAATATATTAACGAGCATAATTAGGAATTTTGAAAAATAACGCATTACATACATTACCGCTAACATCTGTGTTAAACAAATTATAAATTTAACCACGATTGATTTTAACTTAACATATTAATTTTGAAACCAACTGAAAAAGTTAAGTTATTATGGCAAAGATGGTGACTAATGCTAGTTAAAATATTAAGTTAATCACAAAATTAGTCAACTAGTTAGGTTAGAACATTTTAAACAAATAACTTTTAAACTAATTAATGCCCACGTTTGGGTATTATACCCATTTCCTACGTATAGTGTACCGATATCTTTTAAAAGGTTATTTCATGTCAAAGTTTTAATTTTAAATTAATAATGAAAAAACTCGCCAAGATTACCATTTGTAAATAAATTGTATTAGTTTTGAAACGCCTACGCGGAGACGGATGCCTCGCGTGGGGGGGGGTTACGTTACGTTTGACCACTTTTAAAACACGAGATACCTACTATTGGAAATTGCATAGCAAATTCTGAACGCGCAAAAAAGTTGAATATTTTTGCGGAGGAATGCTCATTATATGTATATTACATCGTAAGATTTACACCCACATAGATTTAGTACATTATTTTATTAATGAATTCAATTCAATTCGCTTAAAAATAAAATTGTGACTGTTTTAAACAGGTTAACTAAATCACTGCTAAATAGTTATGTAATATTTTTGATTCTTATTCAATTAACTGTTCTCGCATATAAAGTCTCGAACGAATTATTAAACTAAATAATAAAAACAGATTGGGACTTAAATAAATATTGTACTCACACAGTCACACAGATGAGTTTATTATAAACAGTCTAATATATTTGTTGGTATTTGCAGGTTTTTTTTGCGTATTTAGTCTATACTTTTTTTAACTTTACTGCCGTTCAATAAATAAATGATTAAAAATAAACTAGCAATACATTTCGATGAAGATTCTGACGTGTAGTGTTTAAATAATATATTAAAGAAAACTTATAAAATTGTATATTTGAATAAACGTGGTTTTTAGAAAATGTAATAAATTTAAATATATTTCAATATATTTTGTCAATCGAGTTGTATCAAAATAATAATTTTACCAATGGGATAGAGTAGGTATTAAAATGCCGATAAGTTTACTTAAAGGTTATTGCTCAAAATTTCAAAGAAATGTACCTAATACTAAAGTTCATCAACTTAAAACGAAAAAATTTTTAATTTTAAAATTTTATGAATACAGCGCATAATATGATACATCAATGAGTTGTTAAAAAAATTTAAAATCGTCTTTCAGATTGATTGCTGTGATGTATATACCTATATATAATACGCATTTAAATCATAATTTTTGATTTTATAATAATTAATACTTATCCGTTGGGAAAAACATCAATTTTGACCTCGTATACCTATATTAATTTTGTAGATAATGAATATATCTTGTGTCAATAAAAATGTTATCCCTTTAAACGAAATCGACCACTGCAGTTACCGTATAAGTACATTAGCATTATATTATTTAATCAGACATACCAATGATGCGTGTGTATAKAATATAATACACACGCTGACGTACCAAACTGGAGTGGGTGGACTATAATATAGTTGCCCGATGTTATAATTAAATATACAAGTGACAGAACGCAGCTTACGAAAACGATTCTGGGCGGGAATGTTTTTATTGTACTCTGCCAAGCATATGGACTTATTTTTCTAAATAAAGTCTTCAGATTATTTTTTTCAAAAATAACCGGTCAAACAATCTGTCCCTGTGATCTAATTACAATTTTAATTTGTTATTCAAAAATATCTTCTCTTATCAGATAATAGATATTAATTATGAAAACAAAAGCCAAATTCGATTACCTATAACCTAATCGGTAAATCCAAAACAGTTTAAACCCTGTCATGTAAACGCTTTCAAATTATAATATTAACCCTTTGGGCGGAATTTCAATATATTGTATGGTTATTGTTTTCTGATCTATTGACAGCCATTATCTTTTATCAACGTATTCGATTTTCGACCATTTAATTCACTTTATAAAATAATTGAAGTGCAAAGCCATATTACATAATATATTGAATGCCTCGAGATTGTGTTCAGATAAAATAAAACATAATTATTTAAATTGATTTTGTGAAAAAATATAACCACTTTATTGAAAATATAAAAATAATCAAAATATTTAACTTCGAAAACAATTAATTTCGTAACAATTATGTGTTCACAAAAATATTAATCAAAATTTTTTTCCAAATTTACCAATAGTTTACCTGATATTTTTATTTCAAATGACAATAATAAAAAAACATTAATTATTGAAAATGAGATGTTAACCGAAATGTCAGGGTTATCGATAAAAATGTAAAAATATCAAATTTAAAACAGTATTTTTAACATATTATATTAGATAATATCTAACGGTATATATACTATAATGCATCGATCGTTAAAGAAATCCATTATAAAAGAAACGAGACCAGTTTGAGGAAAATGTCATTAGAGATTTTGGTATGACACTATTTWATKCCGGTGATTATTTCACGATTAAATGTTACGTCGCGTTATTAAAATATTCTGGTGATGGTCACCCATCCGAGAACGAGTGAAGAAGGAGCGGCCTTAAATATCCACGTCAGTCATTACATGATGTATTTTATGACGTCAATTCTATCTATTATTTTCGATTTCAGTTTTTTCGCACTTGTAAAGTATTTTCGTACGACATTTTTAATTCACAATGTGATATCATCAATAAATGATATAATTTAATAATATTAAAAATCATATTATGTTTTCACTTTTAGTCGTTCTACATAATTATATGTAAATATATATATATATATATATTATATATATATACGTAATCTCTCAGTTTCCCCATTGTGTTCTTGAAATTTCAACATCGGGAAGTTTGATTTACTGATTTTTATGACTTATATCGTATTAATTTAAGTACTGACTTATTATAGAACGCTATTCATTTAAAATTAATCAGCTTATACATTATATTACTTACAATAATTTGTAAGAGAATATTAAAGTTAAATCCGTTATTATTCTCGTAAACTTTTATTGATACAAAACTATATTGTTTCGAGTTTTAATCGGTTTAATCAGTCTTTTGTTGTTAAAAGTTGAAATACCTACAACATTTTTGTGTATATACTATATGTCTATATATGACCAATAAAATACCAATTAATATACTTAATATACTTCATTGCGTTTTTAAATACCAACAAATAATGATAATAATACCCACCTTAACGAATACGTACTTTAAGTATACCCATGATAAAACAATATGTTTTCAAATAAAATTCTATACTTCGTTTTTTATATTTCATTATTATTTATTTTTTTTAGGTGCATTTAGAACCGCAAGGAAAATTGCATCTTCGAATAGATCTGAAATGGAATTCAAAAGGTAAACCTATTGTGTTATTTAAATAGGTACTATTAATTCAAATTTCTTTTTTTGCGCATCTCTAAGTACATGGGAAAAATTAATTTTGAAAAATTGAAATTTCAAAGCATATTGGTCATTATTTATAATAGAAATACATTTATCAGATTTACCAGTTCGCCCACTAGAATTCAAGGAACGACAAGGCCTATTAAACCGAAGACGTGGAGCCATGAGGAGACGAGTACATCAGGTGAACGGACATAAGTTTATGGCGACATTCCTCAGGCAGCCAACGTTTTGTTCACATTGCAGAAATTTCATATGGTAATACAAACACTTTTTAATAATTAAGGTATTAGTTATTAATACGACGTATAGTTATTAGGTATTGTCATGGTTAAACCTTGCAAATGAAAACCTATCTCCTGGTATGTGTCCGTACGATAAAATAGACGCATAAAAAAAATAAAAAATGTTTTTGTTATTTAGAATCCAAATATAACTGTGAAATAGAAACACATATTATTCTGTAATATAATATTACCCTATCATTAATTTTTGACTTGTATATGAACGTAGTAATTTACACTGGATATTATTTTACTCAAATCGAACGTTCATATACAAGTCGAAAATATTTAAGTCAAATAATATCCAGTGTCAATATTATTACGATGATATTATTAGTACTGCAAAATTATAGCATTAATAATAATTATTCGAACAATTATATTTTGTGATTCTGGAATGGAAGTATCTAAATTCAACTCGATAAAACATGTTTTTTTAATTCAAGTAAAAATGAAATTATATTTTTATTATACTAGTATATAATAATTTTCATATTAAAATGCCATGCTTAGGTAATACTTTTCTATAAAACAGCAGGCCATCTCTGATTTTTCTGATTTTGATTTGTATGCTTCTTGAATTGCATTTTATAAAATAAAACTGAATAGAAGTAATTTTATTATATATTTATTTTTTATTCAACAAATCTTTATTTCAGGATTAAAATAATTTAATCCTTTTTTAAGCAACTACATGAAAATCCGTAAACACTTGTTTAGAGTGCTTATAGTTTCCTGAAAATAAAATATGGTAGACTTATATGAATGTCTATGTCAACATAAATTGAGTAAATATTATTATTTATCAAGTGACTAATGCATTTAAATGTCTATACTATTTTTGTAACATTGCAATTATTATATTATTAAAAACTTACATTTTTCATATAATATAATATAGGTACATTAAATTCTGTAAAATCAATATTTAAACTCACGGCGTTTCTATCATATTATAAATATATATATATATATGCACTCGTATAATATATATCTTGAACATTTTATTGAAAGTTTAAAATATTTTCTATGTAAAATATATATTTTTAGAATATCATCAAGTACTAAATTGTATTTTCATTATTTCAAACGTTTCATCTGCTGCAGAAGTGCAGAATTATATCCGAAAATCGCTTTAATGTATAAGATATATATAGCTATTGTATTCCTATCGTCTTTGTTTATATATTGTTCTTGAAGCTCTGAAACTTTCAAGACTTGAATATAATTTAATTGTTATGTTTAATATATAATTGCAGATCAGTCCTGTACTGTATATCATTGTACTTAAAATGTATTATTTGTAGTTTCTGTTTATGTATAAACGGCGATTAATGCCGAATGCCGATCATATGATTTCTTAATTTTTGTGTTTAAATCGAGTTTTTACTTCACTGTTGGCATCGTATAAATAAGAATAAAAAATAGATAAATAAAATGAACTGAAAACTAATTTACTATTAATTATTAGCTATTATAGAGTCACATCCGACATTTTTTTCATTTTATCATTTTATTTACTAATAATTGTATGTCATACGATCAAACAAAAATGTTAATGTTAAGCTTTTATAATTATATCAGACTATTATTTAAATCACAATATTCTCTTTTATTTAAAATCATTAGGACCATACCTATACATTTTAAATTATATATTCTGATTCTCATAACATATTTTTTATTTTAATATATATGTAATATTTTACAAGCATTAAATTACAAATATTTTCGTCATGCTTTTATCGTTACCAAATACATCGAATTAAAACTCAAAATAACATTTTTGAAACTTGTTTGATTTAACACAATTTATTCCTGGTAACATTCAACGTTACGCTTAATGTGTTAAAAGTATTCCATAAATATATGATACCATACAAAACAGTAAAGCTTTTTAATGGCATTCAATTCATATTCAAAGATTAAATGTTAATAGCCGTAAATTTGTATAATAATATGTGCTCATAATATTTAAATTTCGTATTTATATTTTGATTCCATTTTCTCGCTTTTACTGTACCTGCCTAAAATATAGGTCAACAGACGTATTAGATAGTAGTAATTATACAGCAGATACCTTACATTGCATAAAAACCTATAACATATGAAAGAAATAAAATTATTTATACTGCAGATACATATTTTTGACTATAAATTAATTGTTATAGAGTAGCGATTGCATTTTCATGTCCAAAAAAACTAAAAAAATATAAAACAACACGTGTTAAAATGTATAAATTTGTTTGAGTGACTTAACATTTCAACAACACAATAAAAGTGAACGTATTCAATTTGTATTCCAAAATCATAGAAATAAATAGTGTGTGAAATCATTWACGTCAAAAAGTTAGCTACCTTTTTTTAAATAGCTAACTGCTTAATATTTATATATATTTTTTTAGATGTTAAATTCTCAACATAATATAATTTTCACGGTTAATCTAATATAACTCTAATAGCGTTATAAAATTGTTATCGGAATTTTAAATTTTTGGTTTTATTTTTAGTTGTGATTTTTTCCTCTTCCATCATAGAACGTGCATAAAATAATATTTGTAAAAATATTTTTTTTCTTTCAAATATAGATTTTTAATTCAAAACATAATATTTCAGCTCAATTATTATTTATTATATAGAATAAAAATATGCGCTCGAAATTCCGAAAATGTTTTAACATTAAAAAATGCAAATAAGCTTGAGGGACCGTAGAGATTGATATATGTATATATATATGTTACGAGCAAAAGTCGAAATCGGGCAAACCTCAGAAATGCCCGGGCAAAACGCGAATTGCCCACAATTCTTGGGCAAAATGTCATATTTCGGCTTTTGACCGGGCAAACCTAGTTATGACTAACCTCATTTGGGCAAAACCGTATACTGATTTTTATCGTAAGGGTAAAACCGTATAGTGTATTAAATACGTAAGCTAATATTTAATATAAATTAAATAATATTTTTGTTTATTTGTTGCTGCACATATTAGAACCATGGCATTTAGAACTACACAAAATATTTTGCTGTTTACATTTGCATCGTTTCGTAGTGCACTTAGTTTTGCAAGAACAAAAAATAAACCCTTGTCCTCCAGTTAAYGAATTTTGAGTACTAGCAGTCCTCAGTGGTATTTCGATATTTGGTACATCATTGCTACTAATAAATTGTTCCTTGCATTGAAATATTTGGTTTCWGGCATAAAGTGATGACAAAATTCCATTTTTGGTTCCTATTTTATAGAATCCATCATCAGTAACMCTTAATWTWACACYTAACACATTATTTGCATCGACTTTTCCTCTATAAATACAAGGCACTGGAATTTTCACTGTCGTTTCGACTGTTAGAGGTGGAAATTGATTTTGACTCCTTAATTTCATTTTTTTTGCTTGCGCCACTTATCCATTATTAGCCTTTTCCCGTGCTTTTTTAAAATTTTGTTTTTGTTCAGATAGGTTGTCTAAATTTTTTTCATTTTCATTTTCATTTAATACCTCCATCTCATTTTCATTTAATACATCCATCTCATTATCATTTTTATTTAATACCTCCATCTCATTTTCATTTTCTACAAATTGTAGTAAGTCATTTTCGTCATTTACATTATTAATTATATCATTGGTTAAAAATGACATTTTTAATCCAAGACTAACTTTTTTTCCAAACATAGCTTCATATGGAGGTTGTTTGATGCCAGCATGATAAGCACTATTTTTGGCAAATTGACAAAATCTCAATCCTTCACTCCACTTTCTAGATTGATTTTCTTCCATCCAAGCATAAATGATTTTTTCGATGTCCTGRTTAGCTCGCTCAACACTCCCCTGGCTTTGTGAATGACGTGGCTTCCCGTGTACAATTTTTAAACCATCCCACATTAGAACTAAATCATTTATAATATGATTCACAAACTCTCTACCATTGTCTGATTGTAGTATGCGCGGAGCTCCAAATATACAAAAAATATCTATAAGATTGTATGCAACTTCGCTTGCAGTTTTTGTTTTTAAAGGTCGTAAAGAAACAAACATAGTAAAATGGTCTTGGTAAACCAAGATAAATTTAAAATCACCATCTTTATTACTTTGCATATCTATCAGATCGACCTGTGCACGAGAATTAAAAGTTTTAGATAAAATTGGTTTTATTACTAAACCTTTTTTGGGATGAGCGTGTTTTTTATTACATATTTCACATAACTGTAAATATAATAAAATTATATCCCTGGTAATATTTTTGTATTTTTGTTTTATTGAATGCTCCATTCGGTTTCGACCCCCATGACCACAATAATTTATATGAGCCATGTGCAATATATCGAACATTTCATTGCATTTTACAAAATAAATAATGTCACCATTGGTKTTACTTGGTGGAACWATTAACTTTTTAGACTCACCGATTGTGAGTACGTCAAATCTATTTAGTCTTCTGTATTCGCTCGTTGTTTTCTTTGAATTGACCTTCGCTTGTTCTACMTCTTTTATGAGTTCATCGTATCTTGTATCACTTATTAGAGCACTACATTCACTTTTTKTAATTTCTTTAAGTTTTAATTCAAATTTAGTTTTAAAATCAGACACACACATTTCGTTAGCCATTGCTAAAGACGTGCTAATATAAGCTCACAAAAATACGAACTACAGTACAATATTGTACCATTTAGATAAGGTGTATTTTGTGTACCTATTTAATATAACGAGTTGATAAAATACAATAACAGCGATAAATTAACAAGATACGCGTGGTCATCTATAATCGTAATAAAATCGTACGATAAAAATTATTATTTGTATTAAATATTAGCTAACGTATTTAATACACTACGGTTGTACCCTTACGATAAAAATCAGTAAACGGTTTTGCCCAAATGAGGTTGGTCATAACTAGGTTTGCCCGGTCAAAAGCCGAAATATGACATTTTGCCCAAGAATTGTGGGCAATTCGCGTTTTGCCCGGGCATTTCTGAGGTTTGCCCGATTTTGACTTTTGCCCGTAATATATATACTTATATGGAATGTTATCACTACAGAATGATTAGAAAAAAATCTCGCGTCTTATCACCGATTTTAAACAAAATTAAAAATATCATGTTCCTATAACTCATATATAGTTATCAGCTTAAGTCGGCTCTTAAAAATTAAATATTATACTTAATTCTTTCATAACAAATAAACATCGATAATCGTTATTAGAAAACTGTATATAACGATTAATATTCACGAGATAAATAGAATCATAATCCATAGTATAACAATAATAATAACAATAGTTTTTAATTAAGGTTATTTGTTGTTTGAATATACTTGGACGATTTTGCGCAACTCAAGGAGTATACCATCTTGTATCTTAAAACTTCTTTTTAAAATAAGAATCACTAATTTTTTATAGTGAATTGTTAATCAGATGAATTTTTTTGAAAATGTTGACTCGTCTAAATCGAAATTTTAATGATGTGCTTCTGAATTATTATCTCTTCCTATGCATGTATTTAAGATAAAAGTCCATAATTGTTTTGCATAAAATATAAAATATATGTAATATTTAGACTAATGCATAAATTAAATTTAATAATTATAAATTATACAATTTTAATAAACTTGTAATAACTATCACAATTTCAAATCATCAAAGCCYCCACGTATAATCTATTATCATGGACTATTATACTTGGTAATTAAAGTTTAATCATTCTGACAATATACCTACTCGTTTGAATTTCGATTTATAAAAAATAATAAAAACAATAATCACTTTAATAATATTTACATAAGGACAAAATTTTTGTCTTAACTAAATAAGTTTGGGATACATCATAAGTTTAAATATACTAAAAATCAGAATTTGAATAAATTCATTTTTAAAGATATAATATTGTAGGCGGGTATAACTATAGTGATTTTCCTTATATATTAGGTAGGTACCTAAATATTATTATTAATTATTAGTTGTACGCCAAATTACAATAAGCACAAAATAAAATAATTATTAGTTTTGTTTATTAATGGCAAACAATGATGAATAATTCGAGGGTTTCATTGATACATCAATAAACACTTAGTAATAATATTTGAATTAATTTTAACCGATATATTTTATTACTAATTGATCGTGAAATATTATATTGCCATGTTTTATCGATTAATAATTGAAACTATATTTACCAACTACTAATAATACTTTTGTTTTTTAACGATGAAATTTTAATGAAATTATATTTTTGGAGTACCTATATACCTACTACAAAACCATTATAATATTAATATTACCTATATTAAAAATTAATTTAAGCATTTTATTTTTAAGGGGATTTGGCAAACAAGGATATCAATGTCAAGGTGAGTTTAACTTCAAAATAATAATTTAGAATGTATAATTTTTTTTTTTAGTTTATATTATTGGTGTTATGTTTTTTCACATTGCAATTTTTAAATAATTAATAATAATAATAATAATGTTAATTAAAAATATCATATTTTTTCTTGGATATCAAGGGTGGTGACTGTTGGTGGATGTTATCGTATTAATTTTCAAAGCAATTATTATTGGGATCGGAACAGTTTTCCCTCGAAATTAAATTTATTAAAAATTATTGCGAATATTAATAATATTTAATTAAAAGTAGAAATACTTAAATTAAATATTCAAATAAACACATAGAGCGTTAATTTATACAATTATATTGAATTATATTAAATAAATTATATATATATAAAGAATTTGGATGACAAAAATCTAATTTTAACCCTCAATGGGCGTAAAAAGCTAACACACAAATTCTACGAAATGTTTAATATCGAGATTGGTTCTTCAATGACGTGCTTTTTTTTATACATAGGTACCTATATATGTGCATTTCGGTTAATGCTTTTTCGATTAATAAAAAGTTGTATGCAGATAATAGATTGGAAACCGAACACAGGTGGTACATACTAGGCCTAGGGACTACTGCTATTGTCAGAACGGTCGAAAGGACAATTTCGCGCAATCACGCACGCCCTAATACAGTTTAAATTTGTCTTCGATGTAAAAAAATTAACTTTTTTTTGTTGTTGTCATAAGAACAAATTAAAACAAGGTTTACGTGCAGTTTATTGAGTCCTGCCAGTAACTTTTCGTAGGTTTTTTTTTATTCCCAACTGCGCTCTCGGACTTATACACTGTTGGCGTTTGAAAACTAATGTAGGACTTAAAATACTTTTGCAATTATTTTACACAACTCCKAATCCCATCGATTTTCCCCTGCAAGCTCGCTATATTAAAATTACAAAACATATTCCCTTTTCGTGACTTTATTGGTGAATTGCACGTAATGTTTAAAAAGGCAGGTAGGTAGTATTTTTAATCTAAAAAATAAGTATAGGATCAAATATTTTTGATTACCTATGTATATAAATAGCTACCTACTATCGTTTTTACGTTTTAGCTCYTATAAAGCTTTGACTGTCACATATTCCATAAATATTAATTTTAGAATAGCAAACTCAATGAACGAAAATCGACGGCGTTTGAAGTTTTTTGGACTCCCCCAATATATGTTTGTCATCGAAATATATATATATATACATATGCATTATATACTATACGAAATGTCTCTCGGGAACTTAACTGTATTTATACATTAAAAATTGTTTTATTTATTCCAATATTAATACTAACCTAATAAAAAGTTATTATTAATCAACCAGGTTAGCATATTCTCTGAAAATTATTTAACACGTCCTGAAATCATCAAAGGATTTTGCTACTGGATTTATTCTTCATTTGTTATTTATTTATTTATTATTATTATTTTTTTTTTAATACATAAATTCCGCATATTATAATTTTTTTTGATTAATTACCAAACTAAAATCACTAATGAATTTTGGATTGTATTAAAATTGTCATTAAGAATAGTTCTTCAATCAAAATGAATTAAAATTTGTTTTGAATTTAAAGACGAATCTCACCTCAAAGTCTCAACACAGATATTAGGGATGGACAATTAATAATAATTGAGTAAATAGCATAGTACAGATATAAGTTATCTTATGCATTGAATGATTATTGGTTATAAGTTATAACTTTAAGTTTTAACAATTATTCCCAATAAATCACTTATTATGAGAAACGCCTAACCCCGACGTGGAAATGGATGCAATTATACTAATGCACGATTAATTAATACATGTTTTAACGCAAACATAATTTAATTTTTTTAGTGTAGGTACTATTCATCATACATGGCTGATCTTTTTCATAAAATAAAAAATTGTGCACATCGTTTTATTAGGAAATATTATTTGTTAATTCGTACGCTTCTTTAAATTAAATCCACGAGAGACAAGAACATGACTCACTAACATGTGCATTCAAAATTTTTTTTTGTTTTTTTWAAATTTATTTGTATATTAGTTGAAAAATACTTTTAGACTATTGTATATTATCGTATACAAATTAAAAAGAATAACTTAAATTAATCTACAGACTTAGATTTTGAGAAGATATAATTGTGTAAGTTTTGCTTTATTATTTTCAAAAAAACCTTTAACTAATGATCTATTTTATTCTATACAATATCCTTATGTATAATAAAGATTTCAAAATTTTTTACTTACGATTTTGTTAAAAACGTTCTGAGCTTGACAAACTAAAAAATTATCATTATGGTAATATTGTAGTAAGCCGAATTGATAACCTATTGTTTCAAATTTCGACCAGAACCATTTTTCRATTACCCTAATTTATCGTTGTTTTTAGATCGTTATTGTAATCACGTCAGAACTGGGCTCAACCAAATACTTTTTATACTGTTTTAAGGTTATTTTTGTTATTATAAATATATATGTTAAATTTGTTTTCTGAGCTTTATAGTAAACAGTCATGTCAGTCATTGTTAAAACTTAAAAATGTTTTTCGTTATGTTATAAAATTGTGAACCGTTGTAATTTGTCAAGTAAATTATATCGATGAAAGTTTTCTTATTACGTTGAAATATATCGTATACGTTTCCTATTATATATAACGAGCAAAGAATATGCATATACGATGTACATATATATGATACAGTCGAAACTCGAGGAAAAATAGTGTTAAAAATGTCGTCTAAACGTCCAATCGTATAATATATATTTTTGAATAATAATTATAATACAACACTCGTCGGCTGCTGACGATGAGAGCAAATTGAGATTAACATTCAGTCGGATTTTTAATTAAAAAAAAAAATAAAAATAAAAATGGTCTATACCAGGCGGTGTTCAGGAAAATGATTATAAACATAAATTATCTTCATAAATATCATCAACTCGCATGTGAATATTTTTAAGTTTTCATCGATTCGAAATCCACATAATTAGGGAACAGAATTTATAGCGCACTAAAATACATTAAAATGTGTGTTTTTTTATGCTCTTAAAAATGTAAAAATATGCACAACATTTGTTTATTATTACTTCATTTTATTTCTATAATAATACCAACTATATTAATATTACATTTTATTGTACATAAAATTCATAAATGAGAAAACATTTTTGTTCTTGGGAAACGTTTCTTTTTTTTAAATTGGATTTAACTATACAAAACAAACAATTACTCTGAAACAATAACCTCAATTCTGCAAATAACATAAATTCATATCTTAATTAATCTTTACATATTTACCAAAATATGTATCTGTTACGATAAATTACGTTATATCTGAATATATAACATTATTTGCAGGTCATTCGGTACGTTATTTTCCTACAAACTGTATGATATGGGAAATGTTGATAAAACTATAACAGATCAATCTCATATACGGGATATTTAAAAATTATGATTGTAGGTACTGTACTAAATGAGGCAGCTTTAAATAAACCGTCTGCATGCGCAAAACTGGTTATTATTTGTCGTGGGCCAGTGTATAGCTACTCGTATAACGCAGGGGAGTCATTTCAGTTTTTTCCAGGTGTGTRAACTTTTAGGTAGGCCATTTTTGATATTATCACTAGGCCATTAATATATGTATTAATATATATGTAGGTAACCTATACAAACCTATGTAAATATTTTTTCCTTCCCTTTTATAATTCTAATTGAAATTATTTATAACGACTAATGCAAATTTTAAATAGCTAGCAATTCAAAGAATTAAAAGTTTATAAATTATAAGTAATTAAAGCAACGAGCTAAAACCATTTCACTAGTATTTGAAAAAAAGAAAAATAAGGTGTAATGAATAATGAAATACTCTTTAATTCCAAAATTAAACATCATTCATACAAACTACTAAGTATCAAAATATTAACTATTTTCAAATTTAAATAAGCTGATATTAACGGGTTCTTATGTGTGCAAAAACATTTACAACCTTTTGTAGTAAATCAGTATTATACTTGCTTCTACATTCTCAACTGCAATAATCATTTGATAATTTAATCTTTCGTCGTCCGTGATGGTTCGTAAATATGTTTTTACTCTTTTGAGGGATGAAAAAACCTTTTATTTGAAGCAATGGATATTGGTACTGTTTTTATTATAGAAATCATATCAATTATAACGGTGCATTGGAGTATTAATGGTGGGCCAATTGTCAACATTTTTTAAGTTAGTGGTGCCGTTGCACACCTTGCYCCACCCCACCAAATGACGCCCCTGATATAACGGTTGTGACGCTAGGTCCTCGAGGGTATCATGCAATGGCAGTGTCATTGCAAAATTATTTTCAACAATAAATATTTTTTTTACGGTGGGACTGAAGAGTTGTGAAACTGTAAATTTCTCGGGATTGCTTATTCTTGTGAAAATAATTCATTTCATATAATACAATAATAACTCACAAATTAAAAATAATATCTACCTACATCATGTTTTTATAATTAATATTATTTTGGGATTCACATGGGTATATAATGGTTATATATATGGTTTAAAACGATAATTAGATATCTATGGATTTTATCAATGACGTAAATTTTCGGTTAACGCAATTTACCAAACATGTGGGTATCTAGTATCTACCATAAATTGTAACCCTAKGTCTGAGTTATTACTACCCATTATTGCTATATGAATGATATGAAGATTGAATTGTTGACTGATTTTCACCAAACATCTTCAAAAATATGCAAAAAAAAAAGCACGACAATCGTAAAATATTCCCTAACATAATAAAATCCTCGAAATATGCAAATATTTCCAAATTAAATTTCGRGTTTCAATTTATTCTATACTCAAAAATGTATTTATTATCACTGTGCAACGTTAGGCTAAATCCAATACATATTGCAATAATAGAATATGTATCGTGAATGTCCATGAAAAGTTGGCCCGGGTTTTTTCTATGTAAAATATACGATATTTCAGTTTTTCCGAGTAGTCCAAATGTCAAACTATTAATGATCATGAATGTAATCGTTTACAGTTTGCACGTGCGTGGTCCACAAGCGGTGTCATATGGAAGTGGTAACAATCTGTCCGGGATTCGGAAAGAAAGAGGTTGGTGATTTAATTTCGTTGTATTTTATGTACTCGTATATGCCAGACTTGAGAGGTAGTATTCTGAATAAAGCATTCGGCATACTTTTCAAGTATACCTATTTTGAATAATTTTATATGGTTCCAAAAGTATTTCAATTAATGYTTTATTCTGAATCCGTTTGATGGTATTTCAAATACTTTATTCCGAATAAAGTACTAAAGTAGGTATTAAAATTAAATTTTTATTTTGATATTTATTGTTATGCAGTGGTGTATTTTTTTTTTTTGTGGGGATGARGGGGTCTCTTTCTTTTATGTCTGGACACCTTCCGACCGAGGGGCCTAAATATTGATATTATAATTTATTTTATAATTTACTATTTTTATTTTAGTATTTTATGTATATTCATCAAATGTTAGATTGCACGCCCCAAGAAATCACCTAAAATATGCCACTGTTGTTATATTCTAAATGGTAAATTATCACAGTTAAATACAATATATTTTAACATTGGCTTAAACTTCAAATTTTTCCAATGACAAGTACTGTAATTTATTTAGTATTTAAAACAAAAAATATTTTTTTGTACTTGTAGTATCTTAAACATTTTATTCGGAATATTATTTTTGTGAAGTACCTATTAAATACACAATTTTAAATATTTTTTAGATTATATATATATATAATATTTATTCTAAATACTTATTAAAATCATACATATTATATACCCACATAACTTCTAGCCTATAATTAGTATTATAGTATAATGTATACGAATGCGTTTTTCTGTGTTTTAGTTAAGTCAGGGAAACCAATCTCAGCGGTTCAGTGTCAACGTTCCTCATAGATTCAAACCACATACTTATAAAATATTTACATTTTGTGATCATTGTGGTTCACTACTTTACGGAATCTACAGACAAGGCCTACAATGCGAAGGTTTTTATAATTTATAATTTTATGTTTTTAAATTGCGATTTATATATGTAAAAAAAATTATTAATGTTTTCGAATATTATGTTTGTGTCCAGTTTGTACTCTAAATGTACACAGGAGATGTGTGAAAAATGTCGCAAATAACTGTGGCATTAATCCCCGTGAGATGGCAGATACATTACGAAGCTGTGGTTTGAATGTCAGCAAAAATGTTGTAAGATTTAAACCATTCCATATTAATTTTAAAGTTACTCATTGTTTATTTGCAAATGACAAACCTGAGCTAGTTAACATTTTTAGAATGATATAAAGTATAGACTATAGTTTAAGTTTATTGAGTCAATTTAATTATTATGTATTATTGGTATGTTTTTATACTGAACAACGGTTTAAGTAGGTGCCGCTCTGCTACACAGGAAGTGCCGAGTTTACTTTATTGTTGAGTAAGGCTCTGTGATAGAAATGTGTTAAGTTTGAGTTAAATTATTTATCTTAAATATTTTGATTGAAGATATACTGAGCTAATTAAACCCATATTCTGGTTGGTTTGAGTTAAATTATTTATCATTTCATTCGAAAAAAGATTGTGAGCGAAGACGAAGATTGATTTTGCCATAAACTAGTTTCGTGTAAAAATTACCGTTTTCCCAAATTATATTTTTCTTAAACTCCAGCTAGATTCACTTTTTTACCTGGAAAAATACTGAAGGTAAAAATCTAGACATTTTTTCTACTATAAATCATGTACGTATACAAAAAGATAAAACTGATCGTAAAATCAATACATTCATCACCATGCTACTCGGATCTAAAATACGAGTATTATTTACTTAGTTTTTGTACMAAGTTCGATTATAATAGTTATAAATGTTTAATAATTATTTTCATAAAATACTTATATTTGGAGCATATTACTCTCATTACTCAACTGTTTATTATATTATAAAACCATTTAAAAATTACAAAATATTTTAATTTTTAAATTAAAACATAAGAAAAAATAWTCGGKATGATAAAACTACACTATTTTAAAATTAACATATTTTAAGACGTAACTTACTCTTTAAGCTTACATCACATCATATAAAAAATCAACTTATATTAAGTTTATTATTATTTTAGCATTCGTTTAAATATTAATTAGTTGGGTAGGTACATACTTTATTATTGTAGAAAAAGCTACTACCAACTTAACGTTTACTAGGACCCGTTTCCCTATAAMGTTCTCATATCTTATCCATGATTCAGTTATTTCTCGCTGTGATAGATTTGTGATGGATTTTGGATTCAAACTATCCAGTAGCCTTGACCCGGGTCTTTGTATTGGAATGGTTTGTTGTAAASCTCTAAGAGTTTTGGGCATAATAATGAGATTGTCAAAGGATTTTAATTTAACTCCGTCATTGAAAACTTTATATTGTTCATGAATCCGACCAATTGTTGAATATGGTACTATTATTTGAGATTCCCATACTGCCGAAAATTCATGCCAGGTTGAAAGGATACAGAGCAGGTTCTTGCGATTTACTAGCTACTTTTTGGGCATCAAATGTCCATCACATGATTCCTCCCCTGTTGCCATTCAACTTGATTTAGCATCACCGTCAGAGCGCAGGTGCATAATGAGTGGCAAGTTCTTAAAAGGGCTGTTAGATGGTAAAGTTGATTTCCCAACGTTACTTTCCTCAACTAACTTTAAAGTACCTAAACGCACCACTCGTTCAATCACTACATTTGTTGTTCCTTTTTGTTCTACCAACTGCTTGCCAAATGAGCCTATTAAACGTATAATGCATAATGCCAATTTGGACTCCACTTTTCTCTTTTTTAGCTATTAGTTAAATATATTTCACTATTATTGTATCTATTATTATTACTCATATATTAATATTATACACTTTGTTATTTCACACTTAAACATTTTCATGTATCCTTCTCTATAACTCATGTATGTATATGTTTTTTCTCTCTTTCTTTGTTTATTTGTAAACTATTATACCTGTCTCTGTTATGTACAAAAGGGTCCTGCCCGTATATTCTAAAAATAAAATAAAAGTTTAACTTGTGTGGACTCGTTAATGTCCAGCTTGTCAAATGAGATTTTTTAGACCTTATAATTGTACGAACAATGAAAGACGACTTATTATCATAAAATAATCTAAAAAAAGAGGTTTTTTAACTTTGAATCAATATCATTTTGTAGGACTGGCCTGGTGGAAATGGTAGTTTTAGCATCAGCAGTGTTTCAGGAAGTGGAAGTGGTTTGCACCGTGATCTCAGTCAGCAATCTTCCAATACCTTATTGGGCATAATGTCTGATAAGAATTCTCCGCAAGACAAACGAAATAGTGACAAAATGTCCAAAAGTAAAAATTAAAAATTATTATTCATATCATATTTACATGCTCACTATTAAATTTACGTTTTTCTAAATGCTATTTTCAGTGAACCAAAGCATGAGCTGTTTTAACTTAGGTAATCGAAAAATGAGTGTAACAGATTTTACTTTCATAAAAGTGTTGGGTAAAGGAAGTTTTGGCAAAGTTATGTTGGCTGAAAAACGAGGAACTGATGAAGTCTACGCTGTCAAAGTGCGACACATATTTTATTATATAACTGATACACAATAACAATGTAAACAAACAAATAATTTATAATATGATGATTTGTTCGTTGTTCAGGTGTTGAAAAAAGACGTGATTGTGCAAGATGACGACGTTGATTGCACCATGACTGAGAAACGTATTTTAGCTCTCGCGGCTAAACATCCGTTTTTAACTGCTTTACATTCTTCTTTTCAGACCAAGGTACACTACGGCATACACTCAATTTAATTTTAAATACTCGGCTAATTTTCGAGTTATTAATTGTTTTAAATGCATTGACAATATTTTGTGTCCTTATAGGATCGTTTGTTTTTCGTTATGGAATATGTGAACGGTGGCGATCTGATGTTTCAAATTCAGAGGGCTAGGAAATTCGACGAGCTACGCGCCAGATTTTACGCAGCAGAAGTGACGCTTGCTTTGCAGTTTCTACATCGGCACGGTGTAGTTTATAGGTAAACAATTCAATTTTTTCGAGAAACATATTGATTTTACGTCTGGGGTATATACATAGTTAGTCCCCAACGATACGGTCATATGGGTACTCATACAATTATTAGGTATAAACCTTAAATTAACACAACCCACATGGCCACGTGGTCTCTTGGAACTGTATCTTGTTTGGAATCACTTGATGTATAGTGATTTCTTTGATGTCCAGCCCAATACTAAATTTGATATACTTAATTATATATATATATCTCAATACACACCAGGAAACAGACGAATTATATAGTACACCCGGCCCCTTGGGTTGAAGCTACCATGTACAATTATATAAATATTAAATAGGTTTGGGATACCTTCCCAAATTGCTTAAAGTACATATTATTTTTACTGAAACACATAAACTGTTGCAGTTATTAAGTTAAGCTACACATTATAATGCAATTATGACAACTGAAAAGTCCGTTGAAAAGTGTACTAATAATATTTTCTGTATACCTAGTCGATTAATGTAAAACTCGTCCAAAATTTGTGTCGAGTGTTGTTTGTGCCAACTTTATCGTATATCATGCTATTTAAATATTACTGTTTTACCATCGATTTGATAATTAATAAAGCTTCGATTACTTTAAAGTGAAATATAATCATTCTTGAGCATTGAGACTTAAGTAGATATTCAAGTTTTCGTATTTGGTTTAATAAGTTTAATAGAAGTACCTACTTCAAAAACAAATTGTTGTGTACAGATTAATCTGACTACGTTGGTGGGTACCTACTAAGTATTTTTATTTAATTAAAAGGTTGATTCTATTTACACTTGGCCACCATTTACCTTCAGAATATGATCATATAATAAAATCGGTTTGGTTCAAACTATATTTACTATAATAATTTATGTACTTAACTCATTTCTAATCATTTTATTTTATTTGTAGAGATTTGAAGTTAGACAACATATTATTGGACAACGAAGGCCATTGTAAGCTTGCTGATTTTGGAATGTGCAAAGAAGGCATAACTGATGGAGTAACTACTACCACATTTTGCGGAACTCCTGATTACATAGCTCCTGAAGTATTAAAATTACCAATATTTATTTATTTTTTTTAAATTTAAACTGTTATTATAGTTTTTATTTTAATTACTTTTAAATTTATATCAGATTCTTCAAGAATTAAATTATGGTGCAAGTGTCGACTGGTGGGCCTTGGGTGTTCTCATGTATGAGATGATGGCTGGCCAACCACCATTTGAAGCTGACAACGAAGATGATCTTTTTGAATCTATTTTGCACGATGATGTTCTTTATCCTGTCTGGCTCAGTAAAGAAGCAGTTTCAATTTTAAAAGGGGTAACTATTACAGCTCTATCATAGATTTAAGGCCTATTAAAACGTATTACAATGACAAGCCACTTTGAAAAATGCTGTATACTTAACACTTATACTAATAACATTTTTATCATCAATTTAGTTCATGACAAAAAACCGTAACAAGCGCCTCGGCTGTGTGGTGGCTGATGGCTCAGAATCAGCTATAAGAATCCATCCATTTTTTCGAGATTTGGATTGGGATGCCTTAGAAAATCGTCGTGTCAAACCACCTTTCAAACCAAAAATTGTAATTTTTGTATTTATATGAATAATATATATTGTTTTGTTAAACTTTTAGGAATCACTTATAATGAAGTTATTGTTGATGAATTAATTTATTTGCCTTTTTAGAAAAATAAAAAAGACGCAATGAACTTTGACGCTGAGTTCACTAAGGAAGAACCAGTTTTGACACCTGTGCCTGTGGATGTAACTTTATCAATTAACCAAGAAGAATTTCAAGGGTTTTCATTTGTCAATTTCGACTTTAATCCAAGCAAATTCATCTCTTCTCAATCTTCAGATTCTTCTAAATAATAATAACCCTATAAAAATTTAATCTTGGTTAGTATTGAGTATTATATTTTTAATATATATATATATTTTTAATTAAACTTTACCTCCAAAAATTTATTTTTGTGTAGTCCCAAAGTCATGTACAACAAAATAGAGCCACATTTTATTTCATATAAAACTACATTTTTGGGAATCTATATGCGGTTATCTTTGGAAATCTGGTATACAAAACTATACACAATTGTAATTTGTGACAAATTTGTGACTTTTTTTTATAAATAAGTTAATTAGTTCAATTTTATATTTGTCAATAAAAAAAAAAACTCTTAAGTTAATTATAATTTTTATAATTTCCAAAAATCATCTCAATATCTGTTTATTTTTATCATGAAACATTTATATGTGTAATAAGCAAAACTATAAAAACATACAATATAAATTAATACATCATGATCGTGATTGGACGTCAAATTGTCACTTCAAAGTTCGTTTTAGTTTCATTTCCAGTGATATAATATCTATAAGGTGTATTTTTCCAGCCGCCTGGAAATAAAAATTTGGGAAAAGACTAATCTATTGAAGAATTTATTGTTTATCATAATTTGGTTGTGATTATTACCACTCACTGACCGTTAAGACTATAATATATTAATTTTTTTTTTTACTGTACTTACAGCTGAAACCCGATTCGAAGAGAAATTTATCGAACAATCTGCAATAAACAAAAATGATTGTTATGTGATACGCACAAGTCTACATATTGGTATTATTACTCACGAGTTGCCTCTAATATAGTATATATATATAACTTCTAATAAGATTATCACTCTAATATTTTTCTAGTCTAGGATCAATTAAGCGAATCAATCGATCCTGCAATATTGATTAGTTTAGCTGAATCTAAAGTACCTTATTTATTATTAAAGTAAAATATACCCGTGCTCGGAATGATCTAGAATTCTATCGTAAATTAAACAGTATTATTTTGCATTTTATTATATAACCAAACTAGTCACTATATTATTATCGATCGTATAATCACTCTCGAATGTCACTCAATTATTTAATATATTGTATTTATGTTAATTTAATGTTTATTTACCGTGAATTACGATACTTATTATTTTTTAATACGCTACCTATTTGTTTTTGTTTACCATTATAAACGTCTATGCAAAGTGACCATCAAAAATTCTCTATGACATACAATTCCGAATGATATGACCGAAATTGAATTCACACGATAACACATATTATTTGACGTGAAATTCTAATACTTACCAACGAATTTTTTATGATCTAATATTATTATAATATGTTATTATATAGTAAGCAACGTTAGAACTTTCTAATCAATTAATAATTATTTTGTTGCCTAAACGCATATATAGTCCAATAAAAAAAACATCGCGAAACTTTGGACGTATTCATAAAATATATACTTACCCCTTGAATAAAATATACATATACATATTATAAATATTATATTATTTATATGCATATTATATATTATTATTTTTTATAAATTATAAATACGTCCCGAGGATCTCAAATGCTTTGTCAGCGGATCGTCCATAATGGACTTAAAACTAATGTTATATAAATTATAATTTAAAATTAGTGTTGGGTTACCTGCATCGAACAACAATCATTTTTAGATTTAAATACAAACTCATTAAGTCATAGTATAATATAATATATTATATAGATTATAGTTATACCTATTATTAATATAAATTTTATTGTAAGCTAGTGTTTCGTTAAAAAAGAAAAAGAAAAAATTTATAACAAGTTTATTTAAAAAAAATGATTTAAATGATTTATTTCTCAGATTAGACATAATAGTGTGTTCATTCAAGTGGCCTTTAAATGTTTAATTTTTAGTAAAGTATGCAATATATAACGAAGACACGGACCATTTAGTAAATAAATAATCGAACAAACATATTGTTATGTTTTATGTGTTAAAATATGATATCAAAATAATTTAAAGGACAATTTATTGAATGGCCATACTCGTAGCCCGTACATAAACGATAACCTATAGTATAAACTATCATATAATGTAGAATAATATGCTACAAACGTTCTTCTATTTTATTCGTTTTTAAACGTATAACCTGCTGCAGAACAGGGTCGTATTGTGGAACGGTATGTACAATATAGAATCTGTTTTCTGTTCAACAGCAAAAATTAATATTTTATTTAAATTATTTATAAATACGTACCGCGTATATGAATATTAATAATAATAATAAAATAATACTAACGATCTCTTTCGCTSTCCTACGGTGTATGATATACTCCGCTTTCGGTCGAACGACGAACATACTCTAGGTAAGGTAAATGATTATCGTCTTTCGTAGCTCTCATGTGTATTTACGTATCATTGTACCTAATGTATGTAATGTACTAATGTTCAAAAGACGTAATATTATGCGACAGTGATACGTCATCCTAAAATTATTCAATATGTATCAGGTTAGGTAGCCGRTAGCATGTTTAAATAAATGTGATTTCGTTGAAAAATCCTTCAAATACACCCTGTATATAGGTTATATATAATAAACGAGTTCGTGACGATCGTCAAATATAAAAGCATAAGATTTTTCCACTTAATAACGCATTACCAACGATTCAAGTCTCCGCTTATACATACGATAATGACGTACTTGATGGCGCGGGTGGGTGCACTTAATGATATTATTCTCTGTGTGTTTCAGYTTCAGCATTGCTGACATTTGTTATTTTGGGCATCTTTATATTTACGTTAATAAACGCTAAAAWAGTGGCTATTCTGACGCCAAAACATGGCACTCGCACTTAATCRTTGAAATCGTTGCCACTTTTTGAACTTTTCAAACCTTTACCTAGCGCATGTTACGTTGTTAACTTGTATAGGAAAACGATTGAAAACAGTTGATTTTTAAATGTGGTCMATTTGAAATATATCGGTCGTTGCATGGATCAACTGGTGTCACACAAACTTATTGATTATATTTCGATTGATGTTATTTTGATTTTCATCGAAATTCGATTGATTCGTGTGCGTATTAAAATTGTGATTCTATAAATATATATTACGCGTTTGTATGTTGCTTAATATATTTTATTTCTCAATATTATATTATTGTTTACTCGACTGGTTTAATCTTATAATAATACCGTGTGGGAAACGTTTAAACGATGCAATCGATTCTGAATTTCAGTGTGTAATTTGACGTTGAATTTTAAAACTTACATTCGTATTTTGGTATAATATATTATAATGTGCCAACGATACTTAATGGAAATTTCGAGACCTAACACGTACTCACATTTTTTCCTGTTAATCGTCTGCGTTTTAGAAACAACAGAATAAACTTTTAAACAGTTTTGTTTGTTCTGAAAAAACATTCATTAATCTGTAAATCGTACATCTAATACCTATAGTTCCGTGCGTTAGATTTGAGCGGAAAGCAATTATTCTAAATAATGCAAGACGTGTTGCTACACTTTTACATTAATTTTTTCCCCACGAATAGCAAACAATAAAAAATACGTAAAACTAATAATATTATCTCATCGATCCCTGTAAATATAAGTACATGATAAACACAGCCCGCCGAATAATTTTATGGAAAATGTTTATTATTATGATGTATTAAAATAAAACATATTAGGTATTATATATGATCCATATCATATATTATATATTGTAACGGCACAAATTTAAAATATCACGTAATTTCACGACGAGCAGCCCTTCCACCGACACTGTTCTACAATATTTGAGACATAATAATCATATATTATTAGTACAAAAATTTTGATATGGATCTGCTTAGTTTTTGTTTTCAACAGTACATTAACGATACATATATACGGGTTCGAATGGATCATATTTATATCTTTAGATTACATATTTTAAAATAATATGTCTTTAACGTTTCTTATTTATAATATTATATTATACTATTTACGATTATGCTCATAAAAGCAATTTAATAATTATAAACGATTTTTAGGCATTTTTTTTTTTACAGCTATTGATATAAATATGCTTATCAATAATGATAAACGTGTTACCTATAGGTGTTTTCATATTTTGGTCAAAGACCGTAGTTTATACAGCTTAATTTTTTAATGATTTTGTTCATTTGAATTCTTTGAAATCCGAACGACTATACGATTACGATGACAACGTACCTATTTTGGAGTAATAATAAAAAAAAGATAAACAAATGATATATATTATAATAAAATATACTATTATAAAAGCTATTAGTGATAATAACTTAGGTTTAAATATAAAAAAAATTCTAATATATATACCATTAGTGATTAATTATCTATATATTTATGTATTATACTTATAGAAAGGCGTAAATATGTGTCAACATGACATTATATTATTTACTTTTAATGTTTAAAACTGCGTTGTTAATAGTATATAATATWATATTATATTATATATTCGTATTATATTATGCACAATTTACGTTGTCCGAATGGGATTATATTATTATTATTATTACTAATATTATTATTATTATTATTATTATTATTATAATGATTATGATTATTATTATTATTATTATTATTATGATTATTATTATTATTATTATTATTATGATGATTATTATTATTATTATTATTATTATTATTATTATAGTGTTATAGGAAAACATACAACAAACATTACATTTTATTAATACACAATTATCATTAGTTATAATGATTACCACTTATATAAAGAACATTTATGCACTTAAATTTATTAAATTAATTATAATACTACGTTCATTATATTGTGGGCTTGTCAATTTTATTTATTTGTTTCAATTTTCTTCTGGGTGCTGAAAACTTCCCAGTATTTGTTATAATTATTATACTTATTATTATTTTGCGTTAACAATGTTATTTGTTCGTGGCTATGAAGAGTTCACTGATTATTTATTTATTTTCCAAAAGTCTTTTTATTTTATTATATAGATGTAGATAGTGTAACATGTAATATTACCGTATCGTTTTTTTAATCATTTTAAAATTATTATAGTTTTTGTGTGAAAATCACGTGTTCTATTAAACTATATTAATTTATGTTTAAATAATTAATTTTATATAATATTGATTGTAATCAAATATATACCTAGTTATTATTGTTATTCTGTTTATCAAACTTTAAAAATCTCATCCCAAAAGTTAATTATTTAACGTTTATTATTATTTTTATTACTCTAAATTAATGATTTTATTTATAATAAGTATATCTAAATATTATAAGCAAAACGACCTAGTCATCACATATTTGTTATCACCAAGGTACTTTTAGTAATTATTATTATTATTTTTATTATTATTATTATTATTAATTTTATTAAAGATCAATCATACCTCTATCTATGTTGTGTAAACAGTGTAGTTTTTTTTTTTAGTTCATGTTTTTTCTATTCAGTATTATTAATTAAGTTTATGTAATTTTATTATATTCTTACATGTTTCAATGATTTTCCTTTGTATGATTTAAAGCCGTTGATTTTTAAAATGCTTTTCGTTTCATAATTACTATGTTATAATAATGTATTATTTTTAATGTTGTTGAATTTGTTTTGAGTCATTACAGTTACGATATAATTTTGTGCCAAAATGTGTGTTTAAATTAATATTGTATTTGATTGGTATTTAATTTAATTACTTTTCATTTGTGTCTATTCCTTTAATACCTCGCGCTTTTTAAAATACTAATTATGAGTTATACAATTTAAATTTTATGTTATTTATTAATAAAAACAAATTATATTACTTTGATATGTTTAAAAAAAAATAAAAGAAAAAAATCATGCTATAGCTTACTGAAAATTGTAATTTCAAAAATTATTTTTAACACTTTTTGATTTTGGTTTTSTTTTTCTTTTTAATAAAATATCAAATGAGCCTTACAATTTCGTCATTATTTTAATTATATGTTCTTATGTTTCTAAACAAAAGTTTAGTATGTTGATTTTAATAATAATAACAGCTAATTTATATCAACTTATTTAATCTTCATTATCGCAAATAATGATAGCATAATCGTATACTTTATTGTGTTTATGATGCATCAGTAATTTTTATAAACTTGGAAGGTGGAAGAAAAGGTGTTAAGTTTTTGGCTTGAGATTTGGATGGTTAGTTCTGATTATTTTTTAATTGATAATTATTAGTTAATATTACTATAACTGTGCCACGCCTGTCATTGTTGCATAAAAAAAATAAATATTTATTTATTGGCTTACTACAATTTAATAAACAAAATTATGTTTAAGYGACCATCATAATATATAATTCACTCACTATTTATTCGTCAAATGTACATAAAATAACTGTGRKAWRWTATMMKSTAC